CCGCCCCGCCCCGGGGCCCAATATTTAATTAGCTCTATAAAGTGCAGCTTTAGCTGTATCCCAAAGTCCTCACCAAGGAAGTAGGATTTACAGGTCCATATCCCTGCTCCAAACTAGCATGAGATGAGATTTGATAACCTACCTGTTATGTGAAAATAGTAACTACGTGGTTATTGGGAAACAGTGTTTATCCAGAGCCAAAAATGTCTGGTCCCTGCCTGTCCCTTCTGTTATGCTTTATTTGGTAGTCATGATCTGAGGAGGCCCAAGACACTGGATCTGTCTGGTGAGATAGGCAGGAGAAAGCCTTGCTGAAAATGCCCCTGGGGTTAGGTGTGAGCTTGGGATTTGAGCATCTCGCACAGGCAGGACGTAGGCAGTTCTGACATGCCCACTGAGAGAAACTATGTGGACTTAAGCATCACTGGGGCAACTACAGGTTAGCAGCAGGTAAGTAGGGGTTTTAAGGATATTAGAAGCAGTTAAATGCTGCTGAAAGAGAAAGGAAATTAAAAACCTCTGTGTGTAAGGTAATTTTTAAAATGGGACTTAGGTGTTTTTGAAAATATCATCTTGATAACTCAAAGCTAAATTTAAACATACAGCATAGATGCAGCAATTGCATCTTTTTTGTCCTGCAATATAATAAAACCTATTTTTAAACAAATTACATGCTCGATTATATATTCCTTTACAACAGCCTCATGGCAGAGAAACTCCAGCTGAATAAAGCTAATGTAACAGAGCAGAAAATCAAGCCCTCTGTCTAGTTTGGTCTAATCTCTAATTCACATTCCTAAAAAGTCAAGAGAGATGCAGAAGTGGACCCATAGATTAGAGGATATCAAATCTCCAGACTTTTGGTCCAAGCCGGTCAAAATGCTTCTGTTTCACTGAATATCAATATTCCAAAGTCTAAACATGTCTGTCCTGATTTAGCAAAGCCAACAACCTTGCACCTATTAGCAGTTAACCCAAGAGACTGCTCATGCATTTAAGCACAAGTATACTATTAAGAACGTAAATAGACACTGTTTACTTTGCTAAAGTGGTGCCACAGTCTTAACATATTGAAGGGCTGAACTCTCAAGACAACAAGGTTTACTAAATCTTATAAATATACTCCAAAATATGACCTTTCATAAATGTATGACATTTTCAACTATGTTGACAACAGTACCATGTCCCCTGAAGTTATTTCAGAGTCCTGACTGTGTGTAGAGCTGATTCCAGTGTCAGAGTCTGTATCATTTATGTCCAGATTAGTCACTCTATGAACAAAGTCAGGAACAGCAATGCTGTTACTGCATGTACCACTGCCCTTGGATGGCTCTTCATTGGATGAAAGCCTAGTTTCAATGTCGTTTTTAACATGTAGTAAATTAAATTCTTCTGTGAGAAGTTCATATTCTTTTTCCTTCTTTTCAAGCAGTGAGTCCCTGTATGTAAGTTCTTTCTGAATGCAGCTCAAGTATGAGTTGATTCTCAGACCATCTTTCATACTTTTTTCCAGCTCATATTTTACACTTTCCAAATTTGAGTTTTCCAGTTCAGCATTAGCAGCTCCTTCTGTGTGAGCATCATCTTCACTTTTTTCTGTGCATATACCGTGTACCTCTCTTTCAATTTCAGCACACAGCTTCTCTATTAATTGTTTGTGATGTTTCAGTCTCTCTTCAACCTGTAAAATTCCCTCACTTTTGCTCAAATAGTCATGCATCTCTTTTGGATCATCTGGCCTACTCCCTTGCTGCTCAGGCTCACTTGGATTGATCATTAAATAGGAGTCCTGCACATAATTTTCTCCATCATTGGCCACACGATCTAGATGGAATTTCGCTTCACATTTTTCAATTTCCATATCTAATTCCTTCATTCTAAGGACTTGTTGATGAATAGTATGATCTTGAGAAATGATCAGATGAATTAGTGTCTCCATATTATCTCTCTCTTGCTGAACGCTGTCCTGTTTAAGCTTGGCCAGTTTCCGGAAAGTCTTCCTGACAATTTTCTTTTGCTTGTCTATTGGCAACATCTTCATGTAATTTGCTGGACTGAGTTCCCACTGTTTTTCTACATTTTGAACTACCTTAGCTTCAGCTGTCTTCCACAATGGAAATGAGAGGAAAGCATCTGACTTTACCAACACAAAGTGCAAATTAGACTGCTCTTCCCCCCAGGCCTTCCAAAGTCTTAGAATCTTTGTTAAGGGAGGAAGTACTCGCTCTGAGCCTCTCCATTTTTCTACAATGCAATAATCACTAGGTCTTCCAAAAAGGACCTTTTTCTCTCCAAATGTTGCCTGATGTTCCTCAAGCAGTGCTTGAATCACTTCTGCGCAAGTTGTGCGCTTTGTCAGGCCGCATACAATCTTTTCTTCCTGGCAAACCCAAACCACAATCTCTCTTTCATTTGAAGCCATGTCCTTGTTGGGAGACCTGGAAAACAAGAAGAGACCAAATGTAAATTACGTATCAATGGCACAGACTGTATGAAAAAAAATTATAATTCTGATATGACTACCACATTGAGAATTTCCCATATTATTGTACAAGACAATTGTTTAAATTACATTAAGAAATACTTTTGGAATAAGTAACACAAAAACACACTCATTTCAGCTACTGATTTAATACTATTACAAGCCCAGCTGAATGTGAATCTCACACAAAATATCTTTTACCAAATTTAGGTTTTGTACACATAGTAAGTGTGTATTAACAGTAAGTGATAAAGTTTGGTAATCTGCATTGCATTTCCAGACTCTCATAGCATAACATAACTTCCAGATCTGCATATCTGTTCTCGTCATACAGTCATAGCACAAACCTTTGTAAGCTCTTAATATCACCAAGGCTTTTGAAAGGAAGAATCATGCCTCCAAATATTCACTGAATATAGATGGACTGAGAAAAGATGACTGAACACCATCTAAGTTAAAAGAACTTGATGACAGGATAAATCTATAGCCCTTCTGCCACGCCTGCACTCACACAAGCATAAACACCATTGTTTTCCACTGTGATTTTTTGCTAACAAGTCTCAAGAAATTTATTGCTTTTCCTGAAGTGCTAAATAGCTTGAATTCCAGTGAGTTGTGAAAGAATACCAACTGCAAGAGAATACATATATAGGTTTGTATTTTATAATCTTTGTAATGATACAGAAATGCCAGAAAATGCAAGAAGTTGTTTTTGGTTTTGGTTTTGTTTTTAATTTATTTAGGGATTCCAATGAATGTGGTATTAACCTGATATTAGCAGCTGGTACCTCCATTGAAATACGTAACTTCAGTGGAAGCTAGAGAGCGATTCAGCTGACCAAATGTAGAAGTTCACTTTACAGTTAACTCTAAAGTTTGTCTGCATCTGAGTAGCCCTGAGCTGTCATGGGTCTACATTGGCAGAGTGGCCTTGTGGAACCTGTCCAGGATATTCCTACCCTCTTGCTTCCACATGCATAATTTGCTGCTTGTTCAGACTTGGTGATCTGGCCTCTTTCCTAAAAAAATAAAACAATAAATTCCCTGTGGAAAAATGCATTTCTTTTGATTTTCTGGTATCCTTTCCAGTTCACTTGAATGAATGAGATTTAAGCCAGGCTGACAGAGAAAGCCTGAAACTGACAATTCAGACACTACTACCTTGTTTCTATCTAGGACTACTTATTCATAGCACTTTTCTAGTCTTTTAAGATGTAGTAGGCATGGAGTTTTACTTGGCTTAATTAGGGTTATACCCTATGATTATTAAAGCCATCCAACTTGTTTCTTTTCCTTAATTACTACACAACACAAGAGACAAACTGCAATCCAATAAATTGCACTATGATTGACTAAGCTTTAGGTGCCACTCTGACCAGGAGGCAAGACCTCAAAAGACGTGACACTGCAAATGAATAGTAATAAAACCTACAAGAATGAGTTTATTAGTATCATTGCACAGCAGAGCTCTGTCCAACTCCATTGCTCCAGGTCTTGGAACATTCTTCTGTAAAATTTATGTTTTAGTAGATTACTCTGAGTAATGACATCATTTTCCCACTTCAATAGCTCCCTCCTACGGGTCAGCATTTTACAGTAATTACTTTTTAAAATTGATGTTCAGAAGATTAATAATGTTTTCATAGACTACTCAAAATAGGAAAGCATATGTCACAGACATAGAAAATGGCAAAATGGCACAAAGAAATATTCAAGTTTAAATAGGCGGGAAAGACTACCATATTAAATGGCATTACTGTTAAGCATGTCACATGCTAAAAAGTCATAATCTGTAAAGTGTTTTAGGTTTACAGATTACAGGATGTGATGGAAATATTTTTGTCTGTTGACAGACTGATAGTTAAATGAAACTTACATAAATAGACAATTGCAACGTAAGTCAGCTGTGACTGTAAAAAACCTCAGTATCTGTTTTACACTACAGGTACAATTTTTTTTTTTTAAACAGATAAACTACAGTTACATTACACATTAAGTATAAAATTATGCAAAATTAATTATCAAAAATACAGTAACTCTAACAATATTTACTACTGATACATAAATAATTGACCTAGAAATAAAAGTATATTACCAGTCATTGAATTTCAACTTACAATAGTACTGACAGAAAAATAAAAAATAAAAAGGCATAATAACGTAAGAAATACTAGACTGGGACTTTGAGCCAGTAAATTCAGACCTTGTCTTTCCTGTTGCTTTCTGTAATCAATAAACACATTTCAGGGAATATATGTTACCTCAGTCTTGTAGCATTCTTCTGAGAGTCTTACGCAATTTGTTTGCACATTGAAACTCCTCCTATTTTGTTCTCACTCTTGTTTTTGTTTGATTGCCATATTGTCTCCTAGTCAGTATTTTTAGCGTGTAACAGATCATGTGAGTTAAGCAGAACTTACTGTCTCTTTTCCTCCTGGTGCCTTTAAAGCTTTCCTATGAAGACAGTTTCTCTCTGTGATACTAGTAAATCTTCAGATAGATTTGAAAACCCCATAGATACCCCATAGCATTAGTGTGCTGATAAATACTTTTGCAACACGGATTTCCCATTTCAGCAGGAGTTAAGCAAGCTTCTGATGGAAATACATTGTGCACTGTAAAGCAATCTCTACAGGATCTCTGAAAAAATACAGGTAGTAAATAACAAGTCTAAATTACTGTTTTTGATCATTTTCTAGGTGTTTTTCACCCCCTGTTATTTTCTCAGTTACAATGCACCTGTCTACCCAGAATTTACATTGAGCTTTCTGGGGAAGGATTCTTCATTACCTTGTCTGTAGCATATTTAATGTACTGAAGTTCAAAAGTAGTAGTAGCACTGTAGGAATGGAAAATGTATGCACATGCAGGTACACAAATTCAAGTAGCTTATACATGAAAAAATATATACATATGTAAACGTATGTATAGCATATGCGACATACACCTTATAATTATATTGTCACTTTTACAGAAAAGGAGAGAAGAAAAAAAAATTCTGAACATCACTACAATTCTTTGATCAAAACAGTAGTGTAAAGTGCAAATTCTTTCTTTTTTTTTCCATGTGCTTGTCACAACATGTATTATCTTCATTTTTATTCAGTGGCCTCACTATATTTTTGATCTTTCTTTTTTAATCAAAAAGAATTAGCAAGTCATTTATAATCTTACAGTGCCATGGAATTCTAATATAATCTAAAAAATCAGATACTCTTTATTATCTTCCACTATAAAATGGTAAACTGATGTGGCCAACCATGGACCTTAATTCCTTAATCATAGTTAATTCAGGTAGTGCCAAACAAAAATGAAGCTTCAGCGTGTCAATATTAAGGGTTTGCTTTCAGGATGCAAGAAGATGCTTATACTAGGAACCATCTGTCATTAAGCTGTGCTTTTCTTATAGAAACTGGAGGGCAGATTCTGCATATACAAAGTGGAATTCATCTCACTTAGGCATCTGGAAGTTAAGATTTCAATACAAATTCACCACCAAAGTTCCTGCTTGTCATAGGAGGAGAGTGGACCTCCAAGGTAAACTATCTATGATCTTAAGAGCCTAATCTATGATCATTGAGATGTATCCTGAAATTAAGCTATTTCTTTCCTTCATTAACTACAAGAGACCTATATGGCCACCTTCAACTAAATAGTTCATGTTCAGGCAGCTAAATACATATGAATGTATTTAATAATAAATGAGAGTAATCAGATTCTGGTTTATTGTTTGAGAGAAATGTAGCTGGAATGGTTCAGACAGCAGTAGATTTAATAAAGAAAACTAAACTTGGGACCTAGATATTATGACTTCATAGTTTAGTTCAGATGTTGACTATTCCATTTGCTATTTCATTTATTACTATCATTTATAAGGAAATACATGAAGTCATTTCAATACTAAGGAAGATATAATCCAATTTATAACTCCTCATCGTGGAAGAATGTTGGTCACTGACAGCTATCTTTTTTTTCCTGAGATGTAATACTGAAAATAACAATATTCAGCAACAAGATCTGCTTTTGCATAGTCATTTTCATGAAGAGGCAAGCTTCTTATATTTACTGAGTCCTTAGCCTTGACATCTTGCTGTTTCGTAAAGAAAGCAAAAGAACTGTCATTTTTTAATAACCTATCAATTAAGGAATTTCTAATAGCTAAGGTATTTATCCAGTTTAAATGTTTTACTTTCTTGAAAAACAATTTCAGTAGCAACTTGTTCAAAACTAGCTAGGCAACTTCATTTTTTCAGAAGTTTACTGCTGTTGCTGTAAACAGGCTTTATGGCTTTCAGTTCTGGCTTGAATTCTATTTCTTTGAATTGATCACTGAAATGTTCTATTTATCCATCTATGATTATAAAGCCTTGATGATAACAAAAACATGCAGTTCTATCTCTTTATGCAAAATCACTTGTTGCTCAGGCACAGATGATAATTTAAGCTTAAGAATGGTCAAAAGCACATTTCCAATCTCTATCAGTTTGTTTGTTTGTTTGTTTGTTTTCAGTGCTAGTTTTATGCCTTCTACTCTTTGCTTCTCTTCATGATGAACCAAAAAACCCCATTCTAATCAAGTTACAGACCTCACACAAAGTCTTGATTGTGTCAGCACAAGCTGATTGTTGTGTGTCAGATAAACACTTCATTAATTTATTATTCAGGCCTAGGGGAAGAAAAACAATACATTGCAGCAACTTATAGACAAAACAAAAACACATACTTATGTGGCACAAAGTCAAAATATGACATAGCGTAAATTCTGGCAGCTGTACTTTTGATATTCACTACCTTTAAGGGACATCTGGCACAAAAACATAAATATCAAAAACATAATTCTTTGCCCTCCTAAAAATTTTAACATTCTTCCTAATTATGTAGCGTGGAGTTTTACAACAAATCATGCCAATCAGATAAAGGGATCACCCTACTTTTTTGAATTTCACCCACATGTCTACAAGATGCTC